AGTAAATCATACAGTTATATGTCTAAGTTGAATACACAACTTGTAAATTCTGCCTCTACAAGTAAAAGGCATCTTTTATTCTCTTGGTAGAAAATCAGATGAGGCCTTTGGTAAATTTTGGTGTGCCTTGGTAAGGACAATGCTCCTTTCTAATCCAGTTACTTTAGGTAAACGATCAGACAGAGTTATAATTTCTTTAAGTTAACCCTAACTTGTCTGCCTATTTTCTATTTAACATTTCAGTTCCACTAAACACAACATAATTTTTTCATTCTTTTTATCCTGAACCACCAGCAACGTGCCGTAGCAGTTTTTGTTTTATTAGAATATAGGCAAATCTCCTTATATGTCTTTGTTATTGAATAAGAGGTAGAAACTATATCAAGGGGTTTGGTTTTTGGGCTAGCAGAACTGTCCGTAATTAAGATGGGTTTTTGGAGAGAGGTTGGCTGTTTTAATATTCAGTATTTATTCTCCAGGGATGTCACTAAGATTTTAAGTTGCCAGGTAAAGACAACAAGTAGGCAGGGAATAAAACAGCTAAGGATTTCTTTTGGTTCTATTTTTCTTCTATAGACCTTTGTCACATGGCGGCCTTTTGTCTCAGGAGATTTAAAAAGCTTTGTTTATGCATGGCTAGCCTCGAACTCTCTACAAGGCTAGCCATGCATAATCTCCTGAGAGTAAATGGCCGCTGCGTGACAAAGGTCAATTTTCCTATGAAAGTAGCAGGGGCCATGTTCGTGGTAGTAGTGGGGGGAAGTACCCACCCAGCCCCTGCCTCTTAAATTTTATGACAGCCCTGACTCTCTGATGACACTTTCTGTTATTATAGCATTCTTATCCATAATGCAAGTATGGCAGTTTCGACACTATTGTGTTGCATTTGTGAAGCAGTGAATGCAAAAATTTGGTTTTATTAAGTAAGTTGATAAAGTCAGTTTGCCTCCTTAAAAAGAATCAAAAGTGGATGTTTAAAGTATTAGCCCATCAGCATCAAAGGGAAATTGGATTCACTCTGTTAAAATGATATTCGTTATAGAACTTCAGCTTGGCAAATTTTCTTTCCTCTTGCTTTTATCAAAAACATTATCCAGATTTTTGTATTTGTCCCATGTGTAGTTTACAAATCAGCATCAATAAATACTGTACAAAAGCCTTTCTTCAAAGTTGTTTGCTTCTTTTTTTTAAGTATGTCAATGGGTTTTCTTGTGGAGGAAGGAACTCCAATTGTGTGGCGAGGACTCATGGTAAGCTGAAGCTTTAATGATTGTGTTTTTTGTTCCGCTCATGAAATAAAGGAAAATTTAAATTTGCTTTTAGGGATTAAAACAACCTTGTTATGACCTAACTTTGATGGGTTCTGTTTCTCCTTTTTTTTTTCTTGACCCCCTCAACAGGTCATGTCTGCCGTTGAAAAGCTGTTACGACAGGTGGCCTGGGGAGAACTAGATGTCTTGGTGATTGACATGCCACCAGGCACTGGAGACACGCAGCTGTCTATCTCACAACAGATTCCTATTTCAGGTCAGCCAGTTGTTTAAAAGAAATGTCACAGGATTGGATTTCCCCTCGATAATGCTTACTTGGATACTCCAATAGTATTTAACAAAAATGATAAACAATGCAGGATTAAATTAATTTCATTGCTGTCTTTGGTTATTTCATTGTTAAAATGAGGTACAAATGGTTGTTGTGAGGGGACCAGAGAAACTAAATGGAAAAAGGATCATCACAGTTGAAGACACAACTTATGTGGTTACGAAAACAAAGCCTGAAAAAAATTCAGGCCTGCTTTTTTTTCAGGCTGTCTTTTCTCATCTGCATAGGTTAAGCCTTCATCCCACAGTTCAAATACATTAAATTCATACATTCGTTAAACAGAGAAAAAGCACAAGAAAGCTTCTACGAAAAAGGACATTTTTGGCATGTTATTATATGAAAATAAAGTGCAAATCAGCAAAAAATGTTCAGAATTCTGTTAGTCTACTCAAACAAGTCAGATGCAAAATTCACTGCCTCTCAGAATGATTTTGCCCAGAGCTTTTCAATAATATATCATGTCATGCTGAAATTGAAATAAAAGCTTTTTTGTTACCTTTAAATTTGGCATTAAACCTAATAGTGATGTTTTGATGTCAGTGTAATGATTATTCTTTTTTGATAATTATAGGTGCTGTTATAGTCACAACTCCTCAAGACATTGCACTGCTTGATGCTCGCAGGGGAGCTGAAATGTTTAGGAAAGTTTATGTGCCAGTAAGTTAATACTTTATTGGGCACAAAAAAAAAAAAAAAAAA